TAAAGGGTTAAAGCAGTTTAACTGGCAAGTTCTGCCAGTTAAACATGCAAGTAGTTTAACTGGCAGAACTTGCCAGTTAAACTGCTTGCATGGCACCACATTGTTGCTTCAAAAGTGTTTTTGATGTTCCATGTCCCATGAACAGGATCTTCCTCTGTAAGTGTTTCCTCTGTAAGTGTTTCAACTGCTTACTAATTTGACAACACATTTGTTCGCCAATTACTCAAGACCCTTTTTAGATGGCTGCATGAACGGCGCAACCAATTTGCTATTGGAAATTGTCCAGTAAGCTGATCGCATCAAGAAAAAACTTGTTGAGATGTCATATTTCCTTCAGGAACTCTGGGTATGTTGTCACATTTCCAACGGACTTGGTTGCATTGTTTGTACTCTTTAATCCAAGTACACGACCACCAACATATTTTCTGGCAACTAAGAATCCAAGCCATATTTTTTCAAAAGTTCTTGAACTGTGCAACTTGACTTAATTAATTGTTTGCTGATTTGTTTACGTTTTTAATTATTGTTCCTAATGATTTCTGTGATTTACTCTAACATAATCTTTTAATTTTCTCAAAGTGAATCAAATTCTTTTTCCATACTAATCTTTATATTTTGGTTGTCATAGAATTTTAATTTGACATATTGAATAGTTGTGTAATAACTGAATATATAATGCTTTATACAATTTATTATTTGAATAGATTAAATTATGCAAAGCTAAATTTCACTAAAAAAAAACAAAACAAAATAGTTTTTCTTTGAAAAGCATTGAGTTAAATCAAAATAGCACGTTAAGTTTAATAAAAATCGTTGCATAAAAGTGCTTAAAATCTCCTGTTTTTAAATTTTAAACTTGTGTTTTCAAAATAAATTTAGCGTTGTGCAATTTATGGACAAAACTTTAAGAAATATAATTCATTTGGTGCATAAGTTTTGTAAAAGGATGTACCTTAAAATTAGTGTCATTTTTTTTCAAAATATAAAAGCTCATAACTAGGTGACATGCTCATATCTAGGTAAAATGCTCATAACTAAATGCCATTTCTTTAGATCTAAATCTCAATTCCCAACTCAAATAGTCAACTTTCCAACTCGCTTTTCAGACAACAAAAACCATTTACCTTCTCTACTTGACTTATGTCTTGTTTCTGATTAGTGCTCAGTTTCTCCTCATTCACCCTTAGGTGCCTCTGAACACAGTTTGATCTCTTTAAAACTATTATCTCATTCTTCTTTTCATCAGAATCCCCCTATCATCATGCATCTTACAACTACCTTGAAGCTGACTGGGATTCTTTTCGTGAATTTCTTTGTGATGGCCCTTGGGTAGAAATCTTCCGTCTTCCTGTTGACAACTGTGCTTCTTACATAACTTCATGGATTCAGGCTGGCATGGAATCCTTTATTTCCTCTTGACAATTCCATGTCGTCTCACTCTTCTCCATGGTTTTTCTCACATTGTGCTGCTGCAATTGCCAATCGAAACTATTACTTCTATATCTATCAGCAAAACTTTTCATCCATATCATCTTTTGATATCCACTAGTTGCGTTCTACCTGATTTAACCTTCAAACAGGTTGATCCATTGCTTGACATTTGTATCACTCCGGCTTCTGTATCTAACTATAACAGGTATGTTGTCCGGTCACAGCTTGTGATCTTCTTGTTCTACGGCTGATTTGCTAACAGTAATAACTGATAGGTTTTATCATGCATTAGATAAAGGTGAAGGTTAATTGCTCTTGACATTTCTAAAGCGTTTGATAAATTTTGGCATGCTGGTCTGCTCTGTGAGCTTTTTTCTTATGGTGTATCTTTAAGATTATTGAATCCTTCCTTTCCAATTGTAGTATAAAAGTTATTCTTGATGGACAGTAACCTAAGGGATTCCTCAAGGTTCAATCCTCGGCCCTATACTCTTTTTAATTTACATTAAAGATCTTCCAGATATTCTCACATCTAAGGTGGCATTGTTCTCTGATGATACTACCTGTTATTCTTGTCATGATAAGAAGCCAATACTCTCTGTTTGCTTGGAGGGGGCATTTGAGTTTGAAAAGGATCTCACTTCTGCTACAGCATGGGGCTCACAGTGGCTGGTGAACTCAAGTAAAACTCAATTTTTTCCAGGCAATCGTTATCGCAGTGATTTAGACCGTCCTATATTTATGAACAGTAATATAATCAATGAGTCATCTACACTTTATCTTCTAGAATTAACTCTTACTTCCAATCTTTCTTGGAAACCATATATCAAATCCATTGCAAAATTAGCATCTGCTTTTGTTGCATCTCTTTATCGAGCTCAACGCTTACTCCGGATTCTATTATCTATCTCTATAAATCTCAAATCCGCCCTTGTATGGAATATTGTTGCCATATCTGAGGCGGATCTTCTAATGATGCCCTTTCTTTTTTAGACAAGGTGCAAAAACGCATTGTAAACATAGTTGGACCTGCTCTTTCAGCCAACCTCCAACCATTATCACTTTGTCGTAATGTTATAATGGGCACTGCTCTAAAGAGCTAGTATCTCTTGTGCCATCTACTAAAACTCATTCTCATGTGTCTCATCCTTTTTCTGTGACTGTTCCTAAGTGCTCCAAAAACTCCTAATCCTCTAGTTTTTTTCCTCAAACATCAATTCTTTTGAATTCGCTTCCTTCATCTTGCTTTCCAGATTCATATAATTTGCAATCTTTTAAGTCGTCTGTTAATCATTATCTTGTTCTACAATCTTCATCTTTTCTCTTCCAGTAACTTCCAACTCTCTAATTAGTGGTTGCTTGCAACCTTGTTGGAAGCAAAGATGTTTAAAAAAAGTTATTGAATTAAGGTCCTCATAGTTTTTTGTAGACTTTTAAATACATCTTTCATCAACACTACTTTCAGTAAGAATGGAATATTTTCCTTAAAGAAGATTTTAAATTAATACCAAGATACTTTATACTTCATGAATAAACCTATTTAATGCCTCGCATGATAAGTTTATCAAGTTAATTATGTTTACTCTTTTATTGCTGATTACTTATTTTTAAATATCGTTTCCATAGTTTGCCAATAAGAGTTGGGTAAAGTAAAATTGACACTTTATTGATAAAAGTTTAGCTTGACAAAAAAAAAAAGCAATTAAACAATTTAATAAGATTTTTTTTTTTAACATCTTCGCTTCCATTAAGGCTTTAAGCAACCGCAATTGAGTTAAAAGTTACTGGAAGAGAGATGAAGTTTATAAAGCAAGATAACGATTGAAAGACGACTTGAAATATTGCAAATTATATGAATCAGGAAAGCAAGATGAAGTAAGCAAACTCCAAAGAATTAATACTCAATGAAAAAAACTAGACAAATTTTTTTTTTTTTTTTTAGAGTTTTTAGAGCACTTAAGAACAGTTACAGAAAAAGGATGAGACTCAATTGAATGACTAATCACACGCGAATGAACTTTAGTAGATACCACAAGAGGCGCTAGCTTTTTAGAGTAGTGCTTATTATAGTATTTGTAGAAAAGAGAAAGAGAAGCAACATTACGACAAAGTGATAATGGTCGGAGGTTGGCTGCAAGAACAGGTCCAAATATATTTACAATGAGTTTTTGCACCTTGTCTAAAATAGAAAGGGCATTATTGGAAGATCCGCCTCAGATGCGGCAACAATATTCTATACAAGGACGATAGGGCTGTTCAGTATGCTAATTTGTTTTCAGAACATAGCTAATTGAAGTTTTTCCCATTCAACTATCATATTGTGGTTCAAAAATATTTTTTACTAAACTTTATTATTTGCCCTGAAGGTCGCTCAAAGCCCCTAAACATTTGACAGTTCCCTAATATTATTAAAAAAAAAATTATTTAAAAATATGTCAACTTGGTACTCAAAAGAAGCAAAATTTTATAAAAATTTTAAAAATTAGATTCATTTTTTATAAAAAACAACTTAAAAAAACTTATTATTAAAAATGTTGTAAATATTACCTTTTTTTCATTTTTCGTTTAAAAACCAAAGTTTTTATTCAAAAAAACCTAATATTGTTTTTTTTATAAAAAATTCTTTTGAGTACCAAGTTGACATATTTTTAAGTAATTTTTTTTTCAATAATATTTTATATTATTTTATATTATAAAATTTATATTTTATAAAAAATTCTTTTGAGTACCAAGTTGACATATTTTTAAGTAATTTTTTTTTCAATAATATTAGGGACCTGTCAAATGTTTAGGGGCTTTGAGCGACCTTCAGGGCAAATAATAAAATTTAGTAAAAAATATTTTTGAACCACAATATGATAGTTGAATGGGAAAAACTTCAATTAGCTATGTTCTGAAAACAAATTAGCATACTGAACAGCCCTAAAGGACGGATTTGAGATTTATAGAGATAAAGAATAGAATCTGGAAAAAGAAAGTGTTGAGCATGATAAAAATTAGCACCTTAGCATGTGCAAATTATTGTTCAAAATGACAACAAAATAGCAGCGAATGCATAATAAAAGTTTTAACTCCTTTAGTGAAAAATCCTAATTTGCCTCTAAATAAACGATTCCTGATTATATACCTATAAATTAGATTATATTTACATTACATTTACTATTATTACATAATTTTAATTATTTATATATAACTTTAATAAATTGTCGATACTTGTATTCCAAGCTGACGAATTTTAGAAATGGTTGGATGTTCAAAAAGGACTATGGTTAGGATTATTAAACAGTAGTAACAACTTAAAAAACATTTTAAAAGAAATTTGGTCAAAATTATGGCAAAAATGCATAACTTTCAGACAAAAGATTTAAATTATAAAGAAATAACATCAAGTCAAGTATTTAAAGATATATAAAGTTGCGATGCTGAAAATAAATGATTATCACAAAAAATTTGTGCAGGAAAGTTATACAAATAATGTAAAAAGAAACCAAGTATAATTATCGATGATGAAACTCAAGTGAACTTAAATTTTAAAATAATCCTAGGACATTTATATATAGGGGACTGCAGGTAAATGGCGAACACTAATTTTAAAACGATAAATATGAAGAAATTCCTAAATAATATTATGATTTGGTCATATGTTAACGTCAAGTAAGTCTTAAGTTTTTTTTTAATTAATAGTGAAATTTATCTAAAGTGTGTAGAGTACTTAGAAAAAGTGTTATTGCTACTATAGTAGATGAACCCACAATCAGAGTTGCCATTTTAATTTTTAAAGTTTTTTCCTGAGTAAAGAACGTTTTCCCCTGAGTTAAACTTTTGAACTCCCTGACTTTTCTATATTCTTTCCCGTTCCTGGTGTTAAGAGAAAGCAAAATTATTCTTACCTTGACGGTCTTGAATTCAACTTCATCACCAAAACTGTTGGCTAATGATCAATAAAGTAAACTTCAATTCATGAAAATTTACTACATCAAAACCATATTTCAACAGTAGTCGAACTAATCATAAATAATGAAGTAGGGCAGAACTTTAAGGTTGAACTAAAAAAAATGATAAAAAATTTAATATAATAAAAAAATATTTAAAACTTGCATTAAATATATTACTCTTTTAATGAAAATTTAAAAAATTAATAATAAAAAATTGAATTATACATGGTAAACTACCCAGTAGTCGACAACCACTTAAAGTCTTTTTTTTTTCGAGACGTTTTGTCACTAAAAAATAGACTGAGTAGATACTAAAGTAAAGTGTCAAAATAGGGTCTGAAATGATCACCTATCTTTCCTTCTATCTGAATTTCTATCTGAATGATCACCTATCTTTCCTTTACATATGAAGGAAATTGGGTTATCATAAACATAATAAATGCATATGATTTGGAGCAAAAAAGTTCCAAAAATACCCTTAAACTCTTAGAAATCATAACTGTTTCCAGATTACCATAAGAAATGCATGACAAATATAATGTATTTGAAATTTTTTTTTTATGCTGACACTAAAATAGATAAACAAAAAAAAATTATTATTATTATTACTTTATAGTATAATATAGGTTCCTAGCCACATATTTTATGTAACTTTGGCCAGAGGTTTGTTTGAAACAAACACTTTTGAACTTTCACTGCATTCTAGTCATTAACAGAATTTTTTTTGTTTGTTTGCTATGATTTTTAGAGATTTACTACAAAAAATGGTCAAATGATTTAGAAGAATATAAACGAATTTAATAATAATAGAAACATTCATTTGAGAACTCCTTGGTTTGGATTCAACTCGGGGGGATTAACAGTGTTTGAATTTGAAACATTGTTAATAAATCTTATCTTTATCTTAATGTTTCGGCATTGTTTCCTACTCTGTTTTGACATTAAAATAAATTAAATTAAAAATAAAACAAAGTTAAGATGTCTCCTAAAATAAGCAGCTGCTCCAGAATGGCATCACAGTCCCAAGGATGATATTGACAATGCAAGTGGAGACTTAAAAGGTAAATTAGACATTTTTAATGTCATATTAGTTAATTAATTCTATAATCAGTTTTTACTGTAGTCAAAGCCTAGTTGTTGAAGCAACAGTGTGGTGACATGCAATTAACAGTGGCAAAAGGAGAAGTTTGCAATTTGGAGAAAGCTACAGATTGAGAAAAAAACAACAGTGTGCTTACATTTAAAAGAAATATTCTGTTGTCAAGTTGAACTCGCCCTCCCTGGCAAGTTCTGGTTGACAACAGCAAGAAAACTCAAAAATCATTGGTGAATTATGCGCAGAATAGAAATATCCATCCTTTTTTTTTTGTGCTTACAGGCCATCTGGAAATGGAATTGTTGAACGTCACCATCACACAATCAAAAGTATGGCAGCCAGAAGTGGCAAAAATCCATTAAAAATGATATATTGGTATAACGTGCTTCCCAGAAAAAAAGGTGACAAAGCATCGCTCCCCTACAAAGCTATATTTTCCTATGAGTGGAAACCACACACAATTTCTTCCAAAACTAATGAGGAAGTTCTCCACAACTATACACAAGGACAAAAAAATTTTTTAAACCACCTGATTCAAAATGTACGAAAAAATGGAACAGAGAAAGAGTCTCAGATGAAGGACAAGGAGTTTCGGTAGAAATCAATGGATTGCCAAGACACATGGAAATTAAATTGCATTCAACTAGATGCTTATTCAAAAGCTTGGGCTAAATTTAGGTTTATTACTTTCTTTCTTTTCAGCAAACATTGGTGCTAATGGGTCTCTTCCTCCACCTTTAATATCTATGCTAACAAAATAATTCCGATGAACGTGTTCAAGGCATATCCAGAAATGCTTGCTGCTATTTGAAAAAGCAAGTCTGGCTATATAAACAATGAGCTTTTACATAAATATAAATATCAAAAACTCATTTAGAAAACTTGGCATCTATCCCTTTAACACAGAAGCCCCAGATTACAGCAAACTACTAAAAGAGGTTCAGTATTCAAGCGAGGCGTTTTTTTTTTGAAGGTGAAAGATGGAAAGGTGGAACGAAGCAAGCAAGTAGATCCCATTCAGAAAGTAAATGCTAGGACTCAAACCTTATCTGATAAATATTGCACTAATCTTATAGAATCACTGGGAAAAAGCGCAACTATAAAGTTGTAAGTTATTTTTGTTCTTTATACTTTCAAACTATTCAAGCTTCAATTGAAAAAATCAATAGCCATGCAAACATTCAATCCATTTAAATTTGTACATATCTTTTACAGATGTTCATTTTGGCGCGATGACTTGGTCATTGAGTGTTCTCATTTAGAATCATTGCGTTTTATCACTAGAGAAAAATGATTAAACATTTTGCAAAGAAGAAATGCAGATAAATCATCAACAAGCCCTGTAGATGAAAGAAGCTATGTAAAAGGTAATATTTATATTTCCTTTAAACTTTTATTGAAATAACATAGCCTACATTAAGTTGCATGTATTATGTAAATGTTTACCCTGACATTCTAACTTAAAATTGGTTTCTTGATTTTTAATTTCTTTTATTTAGGCGTGACAGAGGAATCATTTTTACCTCCTCATGCCTTTACTCTATCAACATTGCTTTCTAAACTAACAGCTATAAGCAAAGCCTTACTACATCATAGATAGTTTCCATCGCCAAAGAAGACTGTTCCTAAAGTTAGGATAGTAGCTCAAGAACTTCATACAACATCTGTCTTAAAAACAAGTAGTTTCTTTGTTAGGGGATATCCAACAAAAAAAAAAAAAAGACACTATTGCTGCCGAAGAAGGTCACAAACAAGTACGATTGACAAATGCAGAAAAGAAAAAAAAAAAACATAAACGGCTGTTGTTAAAGGAAAATTAAACTGCGATACTAAGAAAAGCACAAAATCAAAGCAGAAAAATAATGTATACTAATTTAGTTCAAATTGTAATCATTTATCCTACCCTGTTAAATATAAAGTACAGACTTTTAAATTTTTTCCTTATAGTATTTTTTATATTTTACATTGTAAACAATAAAGAATACTTTTTCATTTTAATATGTATTACTTAAACACCTGTGTTTGAAAAAAAACTTACATTTTTAAAAATCTAATAAGTGTCGAATACTGGAAAAAAAAAACAGTTAAACTTAGGATGGTGTCCAATGTTCGACATTTTGAGATTTCGGACGCATTAACCCCTTTTTTTCTCATGTCATTCACTCAAAGTGTATTGTAAAGAGCAACCATCCCCATATATGATAGAACATTGATATGAAATAACAACAAACACTGGTCGGTTTGTCCTTTATACATATATATTAATTCTAGATTTCCAAATACAAAATCAAATACATGCAATAACGACGATGGGATCATTAATAAAGTATGCACACTCAAATAAAGGAGCACAGAGGTTTATTTAAAATTTGATTTAATTTTTGTATGCTTAATTGGCATGCAGATTTAAATTTTAAAAAGTTAAAATTTTTGTCTATTTAAAAGTTGAACAATTTAAAAGAAAAAAAACATTTTAAAACCCAACAGTTTTTAAGTATACTCAGAAAAAAGTAAGGAAGAAAAAATCCCAACAGTTTTTAAGTATACTCAGAAAATAGCGATTAAAAAATATATATATATATGGATCTAAAATATGGAAAAATATAATTTAATAATTTTTTCTGGCTAATTATAATAGTATTTTAGGAAAAAAATTGGATGATTTTCATAAAAGTGATATAAAAACTGTAAATTTTTGCACATGATTTTACTGTATTTTTTAAACATTTCAGTCATTATCTCAGAAACTGTTAATTAAACCGCAGGAAGAAAGAGTCTGCAATGGTAGCATATGAGATAGAGGGCAGGTGGTTAATTATAAAAGTAAGACACTAAACAAAAAATCATAAAACCTTGGGTAGGTAGGTTAAAAGCGTAGGTACTTTTAGAAAGGTGAAGGGTACTCAAAATAAAAGCGTACATACTTTATGGACAACCTCTTTCCTAATACAAATATTTGAAGAGCTAAGTGCTAAAAGTACTTAAATCACAAAATAAATGGTTTAAGAAAATCTATTTTGATCAGTCATTTTAAATTCTTATTTTGAAGTGTTTCTGATCAAAGTATATTTCCTCAAAACATTTATTTTGTAACTTGAGTACTTTTAGCAATTTAGCATTTTGTAACTTGAGTACTTTTAAGCTCTTTATTTGTACTTTAGTATAAAAAAAAATACAAAGATTTTTTAGAGACAAGACTAATATAACCGTAAACTTGATAGAAAAATAAAAACAAGTCTTCTAACAAATTTCCCTTAAAAACAAATTATTAACTAATTTAGAGTTACAAACAGAAAAAAAAAAGCATAAACCTCTTGATTTTTCCTAAAAAAAAAGCACAAGATAATATAGTTTAGGAATAGTAAATACATTTTAATTACTAATATTCAAGAAACTTTTCTGAAAATGACAAGTAAGCCAAATTAGCCCATTTTTACCAGACCACCAGATAGTTAGGTACTCAGCACATCTCTATATGTATAAATATATTGATAAATAGACACTCCTTAGAGAGATATTGTTGTAGTCATTACAACAGGATGAATACAACAACAGGATGACTACAACAATAGGCCACCACCTGTTTATTAAGACCCGCCCCCGTCCTAATATCTCTACATTTATTAAATCTGGAGATATATCCCACCCATCCATCCCACTTTGTATAAAGCACCAAAAAGTAACTTGACGATAATGAAACTAAAACATTTTTGACCTAATCAAATTGCTCCTTTAGTTGTTGTTGACTTGCTTTTTTTGTTTTCTTAGTAGTTTAAAAAATTCATGCTTAAATTTTAAAAACTTATTAAAATTTTAACAGAGGTGAGTTGAATTATACAAATGCAAATGTCTAGGCTATTTTTTTTTTCAAAAGTTGTATTAAATAATTTAATCACAACAAATGGTATTTTGATTTTTTCTAAAACAGAAATAAATATATTTAAAAAAAATATTTTAAAGAAATAAATATTATAATTTTCTTATTAAATTTTTTAAGAAAGACCAGACAATAATTTTTTATTCTTTTTTTATCTTATAAAATTTTTTATTAATTATTTGATGAAAATAAATATGAAATTTGTGATAAAAAATAGAAAGCGCCGATAACTGAGTCATGCCAATAACTATGAATCTATCATATCTGTCATTTTCATGTTGGCAGTCAAGAATGCTGCATGAAAAAAAAAAAAAAATTAAGGGAATTCCGGAGAATGGATAATCTCTATGCTTTAAATACACCTTGTGACTTCTCTTCAATATTTCTGGATAAAATAATTCTACATAAAGGTATTGGAGTTTTAAAAAAAAAAAAAAAAAAAAAAAAAAAAAAAAAAAAAAAAAAAAAAACAATTTTTTAAAGTTATTTTTAGTATTTGTTAAACATCATCAGGGTTTATCTAGGTTCTAAATGAAAGATTTTCCTGACTCAACTCAAATATATAAGTAACTTCCCTGACTTTCTTTTTCTAGAAAAACCATCTTTACCTCCTGATTTTTTCCAAAAAACTACCCTTTACCGCCTGACTCATATTATTGAAATAATTATAAATAGTCTCCAGAAAAAACTCACATTGACTTGCAGTGACACTAGCATCTAAAAAAAAATTATTCACATTGGCATGCAATGACACTCGCATATAAAATAAAACCGCATATATGATTGATCATGTATGTTTTTTAATTAAAGGCTTATATTTATTTACACTTCACAACAACTAATTAAAAAAGTCTTTTTTATGACAAAATTTTTTCAAAGTTTTACATTTCTTTAACTTTATTTTGAAAATCAATTAATTTATAAAGAAAAGGAATAGCTACAATAAAGTAATATCTTTTAAAAAAAAGGGAGATTAGTTTCACGTTTTTTTTTTTTTTTTCTTTCTGTTTCTCTAACAAAATTTGAACTGCTTTTTCTATACTTTTAATTTCAAGACATTTATCTTCACTCTTCCTTTTCATATGGTTTCCTTTGATAACTCCAAATCTTTTTTTTCTTCTGTCTCTTATATGATAAAAATAAACTAAATATCTAAATTGTTGTAAAAATCTAGTAATTTTTTTTTTTCTTTTTAATCATCAACGATTTTGGTTAAAATTTTTAACTGATGGTTGCTTTGATTTTTCTTAGCATTCTTTCTCTTTTGATCAAGGTCTAGCTAATATTTTAGGCACGCGCCTTTCACAAACCTTATAAACTTGTTTGTTAGTTTTATTGTTAAAGGTATCAGGTTGTTCTTTTACACATGGTCTACTCGCCATCTTTCTTTATATTATTGGTTATATATTGGTTACAATCTAAATAACATAAACTCTTCTTTACCATTGTTTTACTATGACTTGTAACTAAAACCAATATAAGAGCAAAATAGATTTTAACTTTTTGGTATATGTATAGTGGGTTTATAAAAAAAAGAAATTATCAAGTCTAGCGCTCTCGCAACTTGAAGACTCTACTATTTCGAAATTTCAACTGAACTGAATATTATGGCAAAACTTTCTCTGCTAAAGTTGCATTAATCTTCAATGAGTCAAGAGTTGTTTCATCTTGCTTCGTAATTTGACCAGTTGCATACAGAATTTGGATCTATCGATTGGATTAGTCATATACAGGAACTTGAATCAAACACATTTGCAATTCATACCATGCAATGTAATGAACTTTTTCGAGTGATTTTCTCCAATAAAAAAAATTACCATATTTGCAGCGTCCTTTTTTAACTTTTTTTACATCTGCAGATTTCACTTTATCTTGACCTAATAAATTCTGAAGTTTTTCTTAAGTTGAGAAACTAAATGAACATCTTTTATCTCTAGATAAATACCTTTATCAGTAATATCAAGCTCTAATAAGTTAAGAACAGAATAACATTTAAGGAAAATATCAGTTTTAACAACCAACTAAATTAGGTAATGCAGCATCTCAAGGTCCTTGCCAAGAAAAGACAACATGGGATCATCTGTTTGATATTTTTTTCGGATTTTGAGGCTGCAAAAGGTGTGATATAGTAGAAAAATAAAAGCTTTTATACTAAAAGACATTGGTAACTCCTTTTTTTTACAATCAAACAACTCTTTGATGACGGCCTTTTAAAAGATAATAGGTTCTGCTGGAAATTATTTATCTTTATTATATTTGGCTATATTTCTTTGATGACAATGTTTACAAATTAACTCAGACCAGCTTCGTCTCTTTCCAATTGCATTTCCCTGAGAACCTTCCAGTTCACATTAGAACCATGCATAGGTAGTTGTACTTGTTTAGATAAATCCAAACCAGATACACTATTTGAATAACTTTGTTCAAACTTTCAACATGACAAACAGCCAGCCTGATGGCAACAGTCTGATGCACAGACTTGTATTTTAAAAAAGTCCCTGTAGTAAGGTGCAACTGCATAACTAACATTAAATTTGTTTTTGCCAAGTTAAAATATTTGATACAAAATAGGAATTAAAAAATTGAAATAAATGTTAAAAATAAGATTTCTTATTTTAAATAATTGTAAATATTTAGCATTAATATTTACAATTATTTAAAATAATAATTTAAAAAAGAATTTTTTTATAATTTTCAACAAACATTAGGTAGTAGATTATTAAAACTTATATAAAAAAAAGAAAATTTCAAAAACATTAAGCATTAAAATCATTTATATATAAAATGATTAAACTTAAACATAATCAAGATTTGACATTTCAAGATTTCATTGATAAATCCTAAAAAACATTTACAATTTAATACAATCCTAGGTAAAATAAAAAAAAAAAAAAGAAGAAATTTAGAACTAGAAATGTTTTATTATTCTCTGAGTCACTAAGAAAAAAAGCAACTGTTTTCTGACCACTAAGTAAATTCCCTGATTTTTACTAAACCAGTTAAAAAAGACACTTTTGCTTTGACTTTCCCTGAAGGTATAAATCATGATTGTTATTTTATGTTTAGCATGGTTAAAACAGAACACAAATTTAGCTCAGCCAGTGTAACCACTAGTTAAAAACAAGGGCAAAAATAAGGATTTTAATTAAATTGAAAGAATAATTTTAACAAATTTAGCTCAGCCATGAAATTGTCATGAAATTTAATAACAAACAGCAAAAAATTTCATACAAAAAATATAAAAAAACATTCTATACAGAATCTTTTTTAAATAAATAACATAACACCAAAATGATATTAGATATATAGCATATGCCTTATATCATTTTGGACATATTTTTCATTGGGAACACTCTCTTTTATAAAAATGTTTACTTCATGCAGTAAATTATAAAGCTAGTATTGTAAAAACCATTAAAAAAAAAAATTATTTAACATTGCAAACCTTCAACATTTTTTCCATTTCTAAATTGAAAGTTACAACATAATGAACTCTGTGAAACATTTTACTCTATTATTCTTGCATTTGCATATGTGGCCAATATGTACTTATCTTCTGTCGCAGCAGCCGGATTTAAAGCTTCAGCAGTGTTTGGTTGTGCATCAATTTGCTGTGCATCTATTTTTAAACAAACAAACAAAGCTATATTTACTAGGTTATCAAGTATATTATCTAGTATACAATATACAAAATGGTTTTTTTGAATGAATTTTCATTATATTAATTTATAAATTTCATTCAAAAAACTAAAGTATACTTTCAAAACTTGATACATATTTGATTAAAATAAATAGTTGCATACACATTTCAGTAAATAAATTTATTTCAAGAGCAATGTTCCAAATTTACATTCTAAACTTGATAAACGTTTATAATACACTTTTAATTATAAAAAAAAAAAAAAAAAAGATTGAAAAGAAATAAGTATATTCTTATATCGGCATCATATATTTTACAAAAAAAAAGGTAAAGAAAACCTTCATACCTAATAAATGCTCAAAATTTAGAGAAGAATTATCTTCACTCATTTTAATCTAAAGAGTATTACAAAATTTTGTAGAGCGAAGCTCGTTTTAGTACAATTCGGAGGGTTCTGTTCCAGAATTCAAAATAAGATATTGGCTAGCGGTCGTTCAGAATAAGGTACACTTAAAGCGCATGCGTACCAACCGTCAAAAGTATTCTAGGTCTGCGATTTTTGTAAAATTCAAAATCTTATTTTGAATTATACGAAAGACCGTTAGCCTAAAAAAGTATTTGATCGGCCAAATGTTAACTTAAAATTATGACTTACAAAGATCGCCAAATAGCTGAATCAGAAATTCAGAACTTCATAAATGAGCTAGAAAACAGTGAAAATGAAGATTATGAAGATAATAAGCGGCATTAGTGTCTATCAAAAGCGATGTTACAAAAAGTCTAGATTTTGAAGAGATTCTGAATCAATTAATGTATGAAAAATCAAGGAAAAAAATATACTAATTTGGATACATGTAAGTTTTAACTGTCTAAATTTATTTCATACTTTCTCAATTATTTCTTGTAACCACAAAAGTACTTAAAACTTTAGTTAAGTGAACTTTAATATGAATCACCAACTTAAAAAGGGGGACATGTCCTGCAAAAATACACATAACATGTCTCCTTTTTCAAGTTAGGCTAACATTTTTTAATAATAAATAACATTACCATGGAAAATTAAATTCTAGTTCAAACTTTTGAAATGTATAAAAATATTAAATGAGCAATAAATATAATTAAGCAGAGTATATGAATTGGTAGCTGTTGGCGATCCATATATTCTGCTTTATTATATTTATTGCTCATTTAATATTTTTATATAATTCAAAAGTTTGAACTAAAATTTAATTTTCCATGGTAATTTTATTTTTTATTAAACAAATTATTGCCATTATCTTTGAATTATTGCTCTGAGATATTTTTAAAAACTTCAATATTTTTTTTTGATTGATTTCTACTAAATAACTAAAAGTTAAGTTAAGTTTTAAACTTATGTTCATTTATTTCCAAAAAGTTATTTAAATTGCAAAACTTCAATATTTTTGATTACATTTTACAGCATGATAATAAGAGTGCTCGAAGTGAAATCCATGCTATTTTAAAAATATGTAAAGAAAAACAATGCCTTTTTAACAGTGTTTTTTCTGAAATCAAGTATTTTAAATTACAGAATTTTTTTTTCTAAATGAAAAATATTTTTACAATTTTTATGCAGATAATCTTCTTGGTAGCCGCGACGTCTGATTTAGAAAGCTATCAACCCGGGTTAATTTCTGGGTAGCTGGTCATAGGTCAACTCAAATTTTCATCCCTCAGGGTTCGATAAATGAGAAAACATTTATTTGTTCACATAATTTTTTGACAAAGGGGCCCCAAATTGTGTTGTGCCTATAGTCTGTGTTGTTCTAGATTGGGCCCTGGGTGCAAGCATGCATAAGTGCAATTTGGTTTCAAGTGCTTTAAAGTTGTGCACTTCTTTAAAATAAATGAATTTAACAAAAATGAATAAACTGCCGAGCGATGGATCAAGGAGTTTTTGTGTGGCTAAAGACTCTGCTACTTCCGCCTACCTCTCCCCCCTAGCTGTCATTAGGGCCCCATAATCTTAAAAACCTATAATTATGCACAGTCAATTACAAGCATTATGTTTATGAGCGCATGTTTAAAAAGTTCTTAAGAAGTTTTAGATATTTTAAAATGGCTGTGGATCTTAGCTACATAATCTTTTTCTTATATAGCAACTTTTTTTTAATTTTGGTTTTGTAAAAATTAATGCTGCAACTTATTTATTAAATTTCTGATGAATGGAGTATTTAAACCAAAAGTTGTTTGTTGTATTCAAACCTAGCACCCAATTTTTTCATAAATGAAATAACATCAATAAAACTGTATTAAAACAGTAATATATTTTTCTAAAGTCAAATAGATTGTAGAAGTAAAAAGCAAATTTCTTTTAATATAAATTTTATTTCTAAAACATACTACAAACACTCTAATATGATATATTATATATACTTATAATTTATAAACCAATAATTTTTTATGAATATCTAATCTAAAAACAAGACATTTAAAATAATTTACAAGAATATCACTTTAATTCTAATATTCTTTTCTTTCTATCCAAAATTATCAAATTGTGTGCTCTTATTCATCTATTAAATTGTTTATTTGTCTGAAATCACGCAACTTACCCTATCTCTTTCAATCTGTTATTTCTTTACTTCAATAAAAAATTCTCAATATTATCTTCCATCTTTTAGCAACCTTAAAATATATATTCTAAATCATTTTTCAGTTTAGTACAGCATAACAAATCACATCACAAACCAATGGATAAAATCATGAAATAATTTATCATTTTTTATTCACAGAATAATTTATTTTTTATATTCACTTTATATCACTAAACTCTACTACTAAAACTCATCTTTATGTCTTTTTATTATGGAGAAATGTAATTACTTTTCTTAAAACGTTATGCTCATTGTGGGTTATTATTATTGCTTTTGGTATGGTTATATGTAATATAAGTATCAACATTATTTTACTTCTGTTCATATCATTATTACTTATTGTTATTGTTTAATATTAAATTTAGTATTTATCAATATTATTATTACTATTATTATTGTTATTATTATATTAATATAAATATAATTGTTAACATTGCTTACCTCGTTATAATTACTTTAATATTGTTATTGCTAATACTATATAATTGGTTTTTACTTAGGATTAGTATTAGTACTATTTCTTAATATCCATGTGTATGTTGCATACATACATATATATGACATATATGTGTGTGTTTTCTTTTGTTTTTTAATTAATTTTATTTTAAAATTAATTAATAGTATTAAATTTACTAATTGAAAAGTATTGTTTTCTTTACTTACTTTGCATGTATTTGGAAACTTGCAATTGCTTTGCAATTTTGCAAAGCAATTGCAAGTTTCTAAATACATGCAAAGTAAGTAAAGAAAACAATACTTTTCAATTAGTAAATTTAATACTATTAATTAATTTTAATTTTTACATTTTTTATCCTTATTTTAATTGATCTAAGTATAGAATTTTAGTTTATTTTACCTGGGTAAATAAATTTCCAGTTAAGAGAGTTGATAGAGTTGCAGCATTTTTAGAGAAAAATCAATGTTTCCCTAATGTGCTATAAGTAAGATTTTTTTTTTTCATTTGTGATTTCATATATTTATTGGATAAAATGTAATAGTGTTTCAAAATCACAAATCCTTTTTTAAGTGAGAAGGTATTTTCAAAACTGCCATGTCTTCTAATTGGTTATTCTATAAGTTTTCTCTGCTTTATAAAGTTGTATGCTTTTTTTATTATTATTATTTAATTCAGATTGTTGGCGACATAGCTCATGTATTAAAGTCTTCTGTCACAGTTGACTCAGCAAGAATGAAGACATTGATACACTTTTGCATTATGGAATACACAAGGTGGCAGTTCCTTGCCCACTACCACCCAAATACAGGTAAGTATGCATGCATACGCAACCCTCAAAATTAGTAAAACTAAAGTGAGTAATAAATTTTGAACCTTAAACTGTTTTAGGTGGGCATCAGATTACAATCAGCAAACATAAAGCCATTTTTACAAAGGTTTTACTATAAAAGATAAAAACGATATATATATATATATATATATATATATATATATATATATATATATATATATATATATATATATATATATATATATATATATATATATATATATATATATATAAAACAAAAACAAAAACACCACTAATTAAAAAAAACTTTTCAGTCATTATTTTTGCGGATTTTTAAAAAACAAACCACTGTTATCCAATGTTTACAGCATATATATATATATATATATATATATATATATATATATATATATATATATATATATATATATATATATATATATATATATATATATAACGTTTGAAACCAAAATGTATACTATTCCAGGCAATACCTGTTTTATTTTTGTAACATTAATATACTTTCAATTGAAAAATTATATTTTTATTGCTATGATGGAACTGTTGGATGTTGTATGTTCTATGCTGCATGATTTTAAATTATCAATTGTCTCAAGTGTAAAGGATGTTAAATTGATTTGCAATTTATGTGCTAGGCAAAATACAAAATGAAAAGTTTTAATTTGATTTTATTATCTAGTTTATAAAACTGAAAAACTTGACAGCATTACTGTTTCATTACTAATTAGAACTCTGTCACATGTATAGGCATTATACCTCTAAAAAATGTGACAGAAACATTAGCCATTGCAATTCAAAAGTTTCTTGCAGAAACTTTAGACAATCTCACAAAAAACCATAACAATTCAATATTGTATATAAACATGATACAAGAAAAATTTCTGAAATTTGCAGTGTTTCAAAGCCAAACTTCTTGGTTGTTAGTACATTCAAGACATGTTTACTTAGAAAAATTGTAATATTAAAGGTTATGAAATATTAAAAGTTACAGTTTAGTTATATGCAAAAATGGAAATATTTAATTTTATGCGTGTTACATCCTATATGTTTAGATTAATGATCGAAATGCCTAATAAACTGAAACAAGCATACATAGATCTGTTGCCTTTTATGTTAAAATTTAAAGACTTACTAAAGCTAAACATTTTCTGAATGGACAAAATAAGACATTATTTGATCTTGTTTTATCTTTTTTTTTTAATTTATTTTATTTTCCTTTGAAATATATATAAAAAAAATTTATTAACGTTTTGTTCACAATTGGTTTTGTATGGTTTATAAAAAATAATATAAAGTGACGGAACACAGACATTATGGAATCATCTGTGGTAAATAGTTGAGGTTGGGGAAGGGATAAGGTTGCAATAATATTTTGTATTAAGTTAAAAAAAAACTTTCATATAATATTTTGTTTGAATTTTTTTTATTAAAAGAGGGGGGGGGGGGGATGGCTTTATTATCCCATCACACACTTAGTACGTTGTAGTTGTATATTACAATGTGTTACCATCTACCTTTAAAAAAATAAGTGCTCTAAAAGGTTACAAGCTAACGTAATTTATGAGTTGATGAGTTTACAACTGAAAAACCACAGATGTCCAAAATGTGTATCTTGTTTTCAAAAGAACACTGTAAGTAAATAATACTTGTATTTAGCACAAAAACTGCGTTTTTATATTGTATAAGGACTAAAATGTCAGAAAAATATACTTTTACTTAAATAATTTGATAATAAACAGATACCTAATGTCACTAAACACTAAATTTTATTTTTCTTAATATGAGAAAAATGTGACATCTGTGGTTTTACCCGTGTGGTCTACATATATCAGAGCCTTATTAATTAGCCGTATTAAACTACAATTATTAGGGAAAAACTTATATATTTTATACCCTCAAATATTTTATACCCTCCCTCCTTTAAAAGAACTATAGGCTATAGTTCTTGAAGTTGGGGACTTTTCCCATGCTATGTTTGGGCCTCTCTCTATCTCTTGGACCCTAAAATGGGTACCTTTAAAAAAAAAAAAAAAAAAAAAAAAAAAAAAAAAAAAAAAGGACCTCATTATGCAATATGGGCCCCTCTAATATTAAAATTGTGGTTACGGCTCTGATATATATATATATATATATATATATATATATGTGTGTGTGTGTATATATATATATATATATATATATAAATTTTGAGTTTTTAAAGTTTATTTTCAGATTTAAAAAATCCCTATCTGTACTTAACAGACGATGGAGACGAAGTGATTATTATGTGTGGCAAAAGATTATTTTATGAAGTTTTTCATTTTCTGACGTTATGGAACTTATTGGAATACACTTGTCATGGACATGGGAGGAGTATTGCCGCTACAAGCATGAACAATAATAAAACATTCCAAAGAACAATTTGTTATTTCAACGATTAGATTTGTTGTTTTAATGTATAAATGTTTTTTTAATATTCTTATTATATATCATCCTAATTTCAAAATAATGTTTCATTTTTTCCATAAAAAAGTACTTTTGTAATATTGTTTTATAGTTCAGGGGAAATATTATTGAAATAAAGAAATAGAATCTTATTTTAAATAAAAATAAAATTGAAACAATATTCTTATATTAAGAATAAAAATTCTTGAAACAAGAAAAAATACTCTTATTTAGAATAAAATCTTAAAAAATGAAAAAAATTCTTGGTTTATGAATAAAAATTCTTCAAACAAGAAAAAAATTCTTGTTTAAAGAATGAAAGTTCTTGAAACAAAAAAAAATTTCTTGTTTTAAGTATAAAAATTCTTGAAACAAGAAAAAAAAAATATTTAAGAAAAAAAGTTCTTAAAACAAGAAAAAAAGTTCTTATCTTAAGAATAAAAAAAAAAGAAAAAATATTCTTACGTGGCGGTCAAGTCATTTTTTTCTTGTTTTAAGACTTTTTTTGCTTGAAACAAGAATTTTGGATTTTGCTGTGTATTCTTATAGCAACAATACTATTTACTTAGTAACAAAAAATAATAAATTATTTTCATTAAACAGTAATCTCTAAGCAATTTAATTTTTAGGATTATAATAATTTCACTTTTTAGTTATGTAAATATATTCATCCGATATAGATTCTTCTGATTTTCTAAACATATACAGTGAAACACAACCTGCTAGGTGCAAAATACCAATAACTTTTTGAAAGGAATGGCGTTAAGTATGGAACATCTTTAACTCATAAACTATTTAAAGAAACAGTTCTAAAAGTAGTTCTATATTAAATGTGCAAATTGCTCATCAATAGTGTGATGATTTTTATAAAATTTTATAAAAAAACTTTAGGAATTATTTTTATTTTTTTATATTGATGTTCATCATTTATATATATATATATATATATATATGAATATATATATATATATATATATATATATATATATATATATATATATATATATATATATATATATATATATATATATATATATATATATATATATATATATATATACATATATATATATATACATATATATTGTTTATAGATTTTACTTTTACATCTAGTAACAGGAATTAGCTAAACTACTAATATGTATAATATAATATTACTACTTAGACTTTATCTGTTTTCAGAATCATCAGGCAAATAATATAAAATATTTGGTACTAAAAATGTATATTGCTTTTTTTTTTCTTCCTACATGCATGATAGTTGTGATAATAAAATAAAAAAAGCAATTTAGCTGATTTCTGGTATTGCAAGTAAAAGTAACATAAAAGGAGTTTATTATTAAAATACAATATGAGCAATTTTGATTTTGTCTGGCTTTTTTAATATTATTTAATTCGAAATATGATTGGAACCAAAAGTGCATTATACTATCATCAGCTTAATTATTATTAACATTATTTTTTAAATTTATTTAGCTATATGTTATTGTTTGTTATTAATTTAAATAGAGTAACCTAATATTTTTTATTTCAGTTAGAACATTAAAATAAAACTGTTCACACTGCGTTTTGATGACAAATACTTCGTACTTATAAGGTTGTCCCAAAACCATTTTTTAAATATGTATGCTGTCACCTCCTAATTTGTTTTATATACTTTCATTATATATCTTCATAATATTTTCAGGGGTTTCTCAATACCATTGAACATAATAAGTTTCTAATAGTATTAAAAAAATTAATAATTGTATCATGTTGGGTTTCAAATAAAGTGAAATCAAATGAAAATTACAAATATGATAATTATATTATAAAAAAGTTAAAAAAAAGAATTTTTTTTTTTAGTTAATAAACTTTGTTTTTTATGGTGTTAAATCTTAAAGTGAAATTTTCATATATTTTCGTTTCATTTGAGACCTAACATGATACACTTAAATAATTTTTTATAATATTAAGATTATGTTATGTTCAAGGGTTTTTGAGGGACCCCTGCAAAACATTTTTTAGAAAAATATACTGAGCAAAAAACCTTGATTATTGAGCTAACTTAGACTGTATTTTTGATCTCCATCCTGTTGAAAGATAAAATTACGAGACAAATCAGCAATTTTGGCGCTTAATCTTAGTTTTCGTTTCATCATATCAGTATTAACCTATTTGTCAATATTCCGTCGATGAATTTAAGTTTGCCTTCACCATTCCTAGAAAAAGAACCCCAAATCAACATTCTTTCAATAATAAACAGGAAAAAATAAGTTAAAAGTATATAGAATATTGAAGCATTTTAATAAAGTTCAATGGTACTTCCTCTATGTTTGACAGTTGGTCTCGTACATCAAGGATTTAGGCGTTCAGCATTTTTTCTCCGTTTGCGTACATTTTGCCATTAATCAAGAATCCAATTGAATGTTCCTTAGCCCAAGCCAACCGTTTTTTTGATTCTTTTCACTCAGGAAAGGTATTTTTGGGGCAATTTTACATACAAAACGTTGATTGTTTAAGCGATTAAACCTTTATTGTTTAAGCGAACAGTTTTAGGATTTGAAGTTATACCATGTTTTTTCACCATGATCTTTTTATCAAGAAATGAAAAAAAAAATTTTTTTTTTAAAAATTAGTTTGAATATCTTTGTTCAAGCAAATTGGTTGTTTACAGGTTTTTTTCTGCAATTTTACCATCTTATACAACAAAGGATGAGGGAGTTTTTTCTGCAATTTTACTATCTTGTACAACAAAGGATGAGGGAGTTTTTTTAAATACCTTTTATGATTCAATAGATATAAATGATAGAATTTTTGTTTTGAGAATAAAAATATGAATTTTTTGTTGTTAAAATGTTATTTAACGTAAGTTAAATATTAAAAAAAAAATTGGGGTCAAAAATTTAAATTTTAAGCATACAAAAATTCATTTTTATTAAAAAATCATCAGGGGTTGACGTTTTTAACATTTCGTATCAAAAAATGTAACAGAAAAATCCATATTAAAAAAAAGCAAGCTTTTTTTGTTAATTAAGGTTAGGATTATTGAGTTGGGATTCACTCCTTGTTTTAGAGAAATATTTAGCTATATGCAAACGTATTGTTTCTAAGTTTATTGCATTACCCTCGGATGACAAAAATATTTTGTGTAATTCTGCATTTGTAAACACTTGTAAGTTTAATCCATACCCTGATAAAGTGTGCAAGAATTAATTCTAATGCTTGCTTGCCTAAAAACCTAAAAGATCTTGTCATGCATTGCAAAAATTCTTATTGTGGAATTTCAGTGGACCTATACATTTTGAGCGGTCCATATGATCTTTTGAGCGGACATGGTGGGCTATTAGTCACAGCCGCCAAAAGAATCTACCCGATGACTAGACGCTATCATCATAATGGAAAGTTATTTGGTGATCATTTATAGCGGTAACCACTAATTTTCCAATGAACTGCTCAAAATATCTAATATTTACAGGTAATTTTTTTTTCTAATTGATGGTAAACTAATGGCGTGCCTCAGACAGCATGAACTCTAGGTGTAGGCTGACTGTAACGTTTTAAACGCCAAAATAAGCTTTTTACTATAAACTCATGTTTAAAAAAAGGTTATATTGATTTCCATCTAGTACTTCTCTATGGAGTAGAGACTCAGGGGCGGATCCAGGGTGTCGCGAATGATGCGCATGCGTCAGTCTTTTTTCACCGCTAAATTTAAGTGTATCTCTTTTTCACTTTTTTTTCTTAATAAAAAGTAAAAGGAGAAATTGGAATCTGGTATTCACAAAAAATGAAAAACTTGTTATAAACTCGAAAAAAAATCATTTAAAGTCAATTTTATTTGATCTCTATAGTTACTTATTTGATCTCTATAGTTACTTATTCGTTACTTAGACAAAATTCCTGCGTTTTGGAGCAACTGATGCAATTGTTCTTAACTAAATACAAATGTGATTGGTTTTTAAAAAAAAATAGTACGTTTTAACCAATCATATTTGTATTTTTTCACAAATTTTTCCGATCACTTTGTAGCAACTGATGCAATTGTACTCTAAATCATTAATGATTGGTTAAAAAACAGTTTAAACCAATCACTATTTAATAAAATAACAATTGCATCAGTTGCTACAAAACTTCCGCAAAAAACTTTACGAAAAAGATAAGAAATGTTATTTATAACCAATCAAATTTGTAGAAAGTTTAGAACAATTGCATCAGTTGCTCCAAATCGTTCAAATTTTACAAAATTCTGACATGCCGCCTGATATACGTTCTTCGCTCGTAATTTTCGTCGTTGGGCTTTGCTTGTAAACTAAAGTTTAAAAAAAAAATGAATTTTTTAGTCTCAAAGCAATTAAGGCTAGACATTTACCAAATATTCGCAAATATAAAAACCAGTTGACTGAAGAATTGAAAGTTTTAAATAATAAGAGTCCAGTTCAGCCACATAGTCAGTCTTCTGAAAATACTGAAATGGATCGTTTTATCCCAAAGCAAGAAGATACTAAAGATTATGTTGCTTTAAGGTAAAACCCTATTATTAAAGTTAATGGTATTTTATATTTCCAGCTAGTATTATATAAACTGTATTAAAAGTATTATAAAATATAAACTGTATTATATAAAATATAAAAATAAAATATAAAAAGTATTATATAAAATATAAACTGAGCTTGTTTTAGTATACTTTTTATTTTATTTAAGGTCATCTGAAGATGGAAATTGCCGGCAATTTCCATCTTCAGATGACCTTAAATAAAGTAAAAAGTAGAGGCATGCCTCTGGCAACTGTAGAGGCATGCCTCTACAGTTCAGCTTCACTTTTAAGCAATTTGTCTCTGAAGACAGTTATTGTATTGAGGCTTCTAACTTCGATTGAATTGTTTGAAAAAGTTTGCTACAATGCGAGGTACTCCCTTTTTGTTAAATAGGTTAAAAACAATAATTTTTTTAATCTTTCCAGTGTTCTAGTAGCCTGTGTTTCTTTTGAATGTTCAGATCAATTTAAATTAATTAACAGTGAATCTACTTCTGAAATTATAATAATGGAAGCATTGATCAACTGCCGAGCTAACAAGTTTTCTTCATTTTTATGTCTAATTGCTTTGTCATCAGTTTTATATATTCCTATTAGATTAATTTATACTGATTTTGGCTTAGAAAAATTCAAAAAACTTTTTAATACAATTATTTTTCTATTTTGTTCAATTAAAAATCAAGATCAAAATGTTTTAAATATTTTATGGTGTAATACTGATATTATGTCAGTGATGCAAAATAATGATAACTGGACACCGAACCATTTTGTACCAATTATTAAAAACCTAAACTAATTTCTAGTAATAATAAGGGCTATAAAAAACGATACTACTTATCCTTTACACTTTTTTAGTCCTAAAACTGAAACAAATAAAAAACAACAACTTGATTCTGCAAAACATGTCAAAATTTAATCTAAAATTAACTTTAAAAAAGACAATGCTTTCATAGAGTTGCCTTTTGAACCTTCTGTAGATTCAAAAATAGTCAAGTCATTAGACTCCAACTCAGTTATTATTCCTTCATATAATGAATTAAATTCTTTGTATGATGTTTCAACATCTCTTGTTCGAGGTAAACTTTTAACTGCTGGCAAAGATGATTCTATTTTGTTAGATATGGTAAACAAAGTATTTTGTCCTAATTCTATGTTTGTTTTTCCAATATCTTTTAATACAAAAAGATCATTTAAATTTGAATGGCTCAGCCAGTTTTCTTGGTTAGCTTATTCTAGCAAAGAAGATGGAGCTTACTGTCTTCCTTGTACTTTGCTAGGTGCTAGTATTCCAAATAAGTCTGGAATATTAAATTTAGTTTTCAAGCCCCATCAAGAGTGGGGTAATGCTGTTCGTGATTATAGAAAACATGAGGAAAAAAATTAGTTCCAATAATTAAAATAATAATATTTCTTGGTAGAAACGATCTAGCATTTCGTGATGCTAGCAAATATCATCCTGATATTGGGGAATCTTCTACACAAAAAGTTGGAATTAGTAACTTCATAGAGCTTTTAAATTTTTGTGTTGATGCTGGTGATCAAGTATTAGCTAATCATCTTTCTTCAAGTCCAAAAAATGCAACCTATATATCAAAAACTACCCAAAACCAACTTATTGATTCTTGTGGGAAAGCAATTGAGAAAGTTTTAATAAAAAATGTCAAGCATTCAATTTTTTTTTCAATTCTTTGTGATAAAGCAGTTGACTGTTCAAATACTAAACAAATGTCACTTGCTTTAAGATATGTAAATTCAAATAATGAGATTTGCGAGGATTTCTTAAGATTTATTGATTGCAAGACTGGTACATCTGGTCTTAGTCTCTAAATGTACTTAATGCACTTCAAGAGTTTGGACTTGATATTCAAAATTGTAGAGGCCAAGGGTATGGCAGTGCGGGTTGTATGGCAGGTAAATATGAAGGAGTTGCTTCTCGAATAAAAGCTCTTAATCATAAAGCTATATTTGTTCATTGTGCAAGCCATAGACTTAGTTTAGTAGTAGCAGCTGCATGCCAAGTTCAAAAAGTAAAAAATCTTCTTGGCCAAGTAAAAGAAATATTTTTTTTTAACTTATCTCCTAAACGTAGTAACTGTCTCAAAAAATATTTAAGTCCAAATCAAAAAAAAATAATAGATATCTTTTATTGTAAGTTTAGTTATTACAAAACAATTAATGGATTTTTTTCAATTCTGTTTTTTTTCAAATTCAATTACTGTAACTCTTCAAACTAAATCTTTTGACATATCCCAGCAGTGTTTTGAAATAACTAATCTAAAAAATCTGTTATTAGAAATTAAAAATAAAATTATTATATATCACACTGAATGGTACGCTATCGCTCTTAGTTTGGCCAAAACTATTGATATACAAGAAGTGAGACCTAGATTGTGTAATGTCCAGGTTTACCGGGATAATTATCCAACAAATACAGTTTGTGACTATTTTAAACACAGCATTACATCTCCATTAATTGAACATCTTATTAATGAGCTAGATAATAGGTTTCCAGAAAATGGCATGTTTGTTTATAAAGGTCTAGCAGCAGTTCCTTCAACTGTACTGTCCAGAATACAAGTTAAAAAACCATGGAAATCTGATTTTTATGAATTTTTAAATTTCTATTCATCTGATATGCCTCATTTTACTTCAATACATGCTGAGTTAGATTTATGGGAATTATTTTGGGAAAACCAGTCAAGTATTCCTTCAACTGTTGCTGGTACTTTAAAGTCCATTGACATGAGAGGTTTTCTAAATATAAGGACAGCATTTATAATTTTAGGAACAATTCCAATAGCAACTTGTGAATGTGAAAGAAGTATTTCAGTTATACGTAGGCTAAAAATATTCTCTAGAAGTAATATGATTGAGTCTCGCTTTAACTCTTTAGCATTAATGTCCATACATCAAGAAATTTTTCCAGATGTTGAAAGAGTCATTGACATTTTTTCAAAGTCAGGTGAAAGACGTTTAGACTTAGCTTTTATTTAGTAGTGTACTAACTTTTATTTTATGTCCAGAAGTGGAGGGCCAACCTTAGGCAATATTACTTTACACTCCAGAAATGGAGGGCTAACCTTGGGCAAAATGACAGTATACAGATGAAGTGCAAAGTCCTATGGCTTACCTTCACGTTGGTGCACTTTGTTAAGTAAATTAGGCTTAAAATTACATGTCTAATTTATGAACAAAATAGCCAAGGCAACATTTGTAAAAATTTCTGCTAAAAATGGATACTGCAAAAGCAATACAAAATTTAGTTATTATTCAATGATATAAACAGCGGCGCCACTAGTAAAAAAAGCTGTTTCTCCACATTTTATATTGACTATACTTAAACCCTAGAGAGGTTGGGGGGGGGGGGGAGACGTCGATAAAAAAATTTCGCATCACCCATTTAAAATGCTAGATCCGCCTCTGAGACTTGCATGTGCTATGTCTGTTTAACCAGTCGGTTGCTTTTAAAAACAAAAGTTGCTTTAAGTATGGTTATTAAACGGTCAAATAGTCTTTTAGTAATTCTAATAACCAGATACAACTCTACAATTGGCAGAATTTGGAACTATTGCAACTCTATAATTGGCAAAATAATATAAAAAATTGTTTCGCTTAGAAGATTTTGCAGAATTAAGTTTACACAACTTTTTACACAATCTTGCTCAAAAGAGTTTGTAACTTTCTGCCGAGAGTTTATCAAACTAAAGAAACTTGCTGCCTAGAGTTTATCTAGCTAAAGTAACTTTCAGCCGAGTGTTTATCTAACTAAAGAAACTTGCTGCCAAGAGTTTGTTTACCCAAAGAAAAACTTTTGCAAGTTTTATATTGACTACTAATTTAAAAGAAACACTTTTAAGTAAAAGTCTAAAACTTAATTTATGTATTCTTCAGTTTTTTTTTACAAACTTAACAATTACCAAGGTTCTTACATTTGAATTACGTTTGAGGAAACGCATATTTATGAAAATTTATGTTTCATTTGTTCCTGTTTGGCTATTCATTATATGAATACAAATCTTTTAGAATTCCGCCGCCTCAATCATACGCAGTTTGACGTCTAATAGTTTGCGGCCGTCACGTTAATAAACAATAATAACATGATCACGTAAACCAACGATGTATTCAACAACTTTATCGAGTTTTCCACTTTGTTAATTTTCAATAACAAAGTAACGAAGTTGAGAACCTTATTAAAGTCTGTAAATAAAAAAAAAGTTTATATTTTTAAACTTTAAAATTAGATAAGAATAAATAAAAAGAAAAAAAAAAATAGTAGGACTGAAAAATATTGAAAAATTAACCATTTGTTAAGTTGAGTTTCCACTCATCTGTTTTTCTACGCGAAAAGGAAAGAGAACGGAAAAATAATCAAGTAAGCATGCGCAGTTTTTTTTCGGACAAATAAAAACTTTTATTACGCATGCTCACGTGATTATTTTTTCTTTTCCTATCCCGTTCCCGTAGAAAATCGGATGAGTGGAAACTCGCCTTGAAGGTGATTTTCCACTCATGACAAGAGGAAAGATCATCTTTAGTCTTTTCACTGTTGGCAGCTCCTTTAGCATTGGGTTAGATTATACCATAAGCTTATCTTAAGGTGAAGGAGCTGAACTTCACCGAAACTATTAACGATTGTAAAAAATTACTTATAAAAAATGAGGTTCCTTATTATTATATATTAAGACTGGGTCTTTTAATGATTTACAATAACAATATTACAAATGAGATTACAAACTTTGCTATTAGCGTTATTTCTCAAACGTTGATACAAACATTTTTTTTTATATTTGGAACATTTGAAAATACTCTAAAAGAGAAAAAATATGCATGTATGTCTGTCACGCAATATCTATGTATATTTCACACCGTATGTATGTATCTATGTCTGTCACATCGGATGCGTATATGTCTGCCACATCGATTTATTAATGTCTATATATCATACTTCTCACTTACATAATACACTCTCAAATACATAAGCTACAAAAAAAGTTTGTTTAATTTTTGTTAGAAAAACTTTTTAAATAATCATGTGTAACCTTTTCCCCACCACCTGAAACAAACTTTTTGCAGTTTGAAACAATGTTTAAGCAAAGCTTAACATAATAGTGTTTTAGCAAAGCTTTTCTTCCCTCTTGTCATAAGTCAAATCCCTAAATAAATTTACGTCAAAAAAGTTAAAAGAAAGCTAAAAATAAAAAAATACAAACATAAAAAGCTACGTTTAACAAGTTATAAAATACATTTTTCAAGTTAACTAAAACATTTATTGAAAATTCTTTTTTTAAATACTTAAATATTTTTATTTTGATTTTGTTAATAACTTACAATTTCAAGATTATTATTAATTAATTACACATTTTTTAGAAAAAAATAAATTAAGTTATTAAAAATAATAAATTTCGCTCCATGGTGACAGGGATAACAATTTCAAGTTTTTCTTATTTTGTTGGAATTATTCTACAGCAATGATAACGTAAAATCTTTTTAATTTCGTCGAGTTGATAATTAAGCTCTTTTATTTCTAGCTCAACGTGTGAGTTTTCTTTCTCGATTCTTTTTGCGTCCTTTAATCAAAGATACATTTATTAAAAATTTTTAATTCTTATAACTGTAAAATCAATACATTATATATATATATATATATATATATATATATATATATATATATATATATATATATATATATATATATATATATATATATATATATATATATATATATATATATATATATATATATATATATATATATATATATATATATATATATATATATATATATATATATATATATATATATATATATATATATATTAGGCCACAGCATACAAGATGTTTTTTTTTAAATCATAAAAGTCACGCTAAAATTGCAATTTTAATAACACAAAACAATCACTTTTTTTTTAAGTTTCATTCTCCGGAAAAATGGACTAAATAATCGCATTTTTTCCATTTTCAGCCATTTTAATACGTTTTATAGCTTTTTTTATAAATGTCTAAAGGGCTGGATTTCTATTTCTAGGAACCCGGATGCAACACATTTTTTGTAATTAGGAATTTTATGAAATAAACATTGTTGCCTACAAATAATATTTTATTCAGCAGTCAAAGAAAAACTTACAAACAAAAAATATAACTAAAATATTGGACATTCATTTAAAATAGTCACACTTTCTTACGTTTCTTTTATTATCTTTTTGATTTTTTTGTCAAAATGAATTCGTGTCGCTTTTCTTGACCATAAACTTGTTTAGATGCCTCAGACGTTAATTTTACTGCTCTCTCCACATATTGAGAATTGTTTGGCATGTCAACTATAAAGAGTTTTAGACTTGATTCAATGGCCTTTTTCAGATTTTCAGACGTTATGCTAAGAGTTGTTGGGGTGTTCAACCTAAATATCATCAACAGAAACAAGATAGTATCAAGAATCAGCATCAAAATTTATTTTCAATATAGATTTCGGCATAAGCTTTGTTTAAAAATTAATGTCTTCTTTCCATGCTCTTATCTTAAGGACTTGGTTAAGGGTTTTGTTATATTCGGCACATCCCGGTGGAAGTAGGTTCAAACAAAATAAATGTCCCAGGGTCATAAGATTTTTTTGGATCCGTACTGACCTCGGCTTTTAGAAAATAACACCATTGAAAAAAAAATTTCGAGGTCCAAGAAAAAAAAGACATTTTTGTAAACCAAAAAGCCAGTATTTTACCTTGTATATCCATTAAGTATTTTATTCGATCATGAGTTGTTAGATGACTATTGCATATTTTAAAAGCTTTAAAATATTCACATTAGAGAAGGTAAACATTTTAATATAGGTTTTTATGTGTTAAACTTTATTAAGAACAAAGATATGATGTTTTGTATTCTTGTTTATAGGAAAGAGAATTAATGTTGGTTTTTCTTCAACATTTATTTTTATATATGTATTAAACTATTTATAGTTTAATATATATTTAAAAATAAACGTATTATATTATACTATAATGCTATAATATAGTATATTAAATGTTATATTAAATTTACTATATTATATATTATATTACTATATTATAACATTATATAACATATTATATTAAATGTATTATATTATAATATATTAAAATATAGTTTTCTTGTAACGTTATTCCAACTTCCTTGTGCATAATTATTATCTGAGGGAATAGTATAGCAACCGTTAAAGAGAGTTTTTCATCTAGGTCTCCAAAGGGAAATGCTTGTTTTGCAATTGTTAATCATTATTCTAAACGAGTCTTAGAAATTGTTCAGAGGGAATTAATTTCGTAACAATCTTTACAATAAATTTAAATAAATCTATCAAAATCAATAATAGGAAATCTATGCAAATCAAAGTTAACCATTAAACTCGATATTTCCTTTAATACATTCGGCAAAGTCTATATTTTAAACCACCAGTACTACAATGATGCCTAATCAGGCATTAAACCACGAAGATAACCAAAAAAAATTTGCACTGTGTGCTTTGAGTAAGACAAAACGATTAGAGAAATAACTGGCCCAACCTATATTAGACTTCAAAATTAATTTATCCCAAATTTAGACTTGGGTAAGGAAAATTATCTTTCTGGTATCTGTTTGCGCGACAGAAAATTTTTGGAACTCATTGAAAAAGGTATAAAAGAACCAAAAGCTCTTCCAATACAATATGATTTTTCTGAAATAAGATCTTCCATTATTACAAGAAGTCAGCCTACATCTGAGTGTGCAGTTTGTATCGTTGTAAGGAAAACTCCCCAGGATTAGGAAAAAATTGAACAAAAGGAAAATGAGTATCCACTGCATCAGTTCTGCCACCTTTCCTACCCATATCTGTATGTCAAAAATGTCTATGTACATTAAGACGCGTTTAACCTCACTCTTACAATATTTCAATTTGCAGGGATAATCTTGAGGCGGCTCTGTCTAGAGGTATGTCTGTATGTATATATATAATAATTATTTAACCTAAAACCACTTATATAATTTACGTTAAAACTAATAATAATTTACGTTAAAACTAATAAAATATAGTATTATGTGGGTTCATACAATTTTTGATGTTAAAGACAAAAAATATACTATATTATATATATTAATATGAGAGAGGTACAGATTTTTTTTGTACAAAAATCCTAAACGGAAAACTATCTTAAGTGGATGCAGGTGATTCAATAAAGCTTGCTAACAAAGGACCTATAATTTTTAATATCAAAATTCCAAAGAAAACAGAATTGAAAGCTCTTTTTCTTGAAAACAAGGTGCCAGCTAGTGATATCTCAAAATTCAAATATATACTAGGCTTAAGTGATTCCCAAACAGAAACTGCTTGTAGTGTTCTTAGAAGCTGGAAAGAAAGAAAGTTTTTCGAAACCAATCTAAAAGAAAAACTTGTGTTTCAAGACTGTGTTTTAGATCGTTTCTTTAATATAGCAGAACTTCAAATCAATAAGCAAACAAAATATTTAGTCTACTGTAAAAATATTCTGAGCTAATAAATCAACTAGAGGAAAAAAGAGATATATCACCAGATTATATCGTAAAGGTTGGAGTAGATGGGGGAAAAGGATTTCTAAAGATTTGTTTAAATATTGTTGATTGTAAATTGAATGAACCTAAAACCAAGTTCTTATACAGAGAAAGAATAAATCAGGTAAAGTTTAAGGACGGAGAAGTTATGAAACTTATTGTTCTGGCCATTGTTGAAGATGTTAAAAATATCCATTATTCTGGATATTTTTTTAATTTGGTAAATTAAAAAAATATCCAAAAATTAAAAAGTAATATTAAATTTGAGTTCTGATTTTTAAATGAATCAAATGTTTTGACGTTTTTAACACAGCCTAATAGGCTATATTTTTAGGTACGTTATTGAAACGTATTGGTACGTTTGTAATTGAAAACTTTGCATTAATACCTTTTTATGAGTATTTTAGGTTAAGATAATTTGAACTTAACTATTTTTGACGACGATGACTTAAAACTTACGAATATTTTTTTCGGAATTGAAGCTGCTTCTTCTACTAACCCCTGCAGTTAGTGTTAATTGTCAAAGCAAGACATTTAACCACAGGATTTTACAACCTATGGCGGCATAAGGTAATTAGGAATTAGTATGCCATTGTAAATTATTTTTTTTATTGTCAAAACATTATTCTGGATATTTTTTTAATTTGGGATTTGATCTACTTTTTTTTCAAGAACACTTGGTATGATTAGAGATAATGCAAAGAAGTACAAAAAACGCTTGTGAGAATCACAGAAAAAAAAGTAAACTATCGGCTGCACCATTTAAGAATTGTGTCCAAACTCTTTTGATAGACCTACTAGATGATACATCTGTTGCAGAAATTTTACCTCCAATGGATCTTCATTTATTTTCTGGAAACACAAACCGTTTGAATAACATAGGTGATAAAATAGTTTTAAAAACAGAAACATTAATTTTTATGGATATGTGAAATAAATCAATTGGATTTATTAGGCCAAGATTGCACAGCGGCTAGTTCAAGGGAGGTCAGTGTTCAAAACTATTGGATAACATAGAAACATTAGACAATATTCTCAAACCCAATATCGAAGTTATACCAGATGAATTGATAAAACTTATGAGTGCAATGAAAGCACTAAATAATTGAAGAAAGTTTGGACATGTCTTAAAAAGCTAAGTTTGGACATGTCTTAAAAGAATCACATCAATTCCTAGATATAAGCATATATGGCATTGAACGAAAAAGTATCACTAAAAGTACATGCTCTATTCATCCATGTACCAGCTTTTTTGGAATCAATGGCTAACAAATACCCAGGAAAAGGTCTTGGTTTTTGGTCCGAACTTCTGAATTTGCTCATTATGACTTCAAGTAGTTTTATGAGCAAGGATACTAAGTTCCAAGTTGTCACAAATTGTACCAATCAAAACTGCTAAGATCGGTTATTGTTTATAATAGTAGACAAACACATTTCAAGATTTAATTTTAAAGAAGACTTTTATGTTTTTAGAAGACTTATACATATTTTTAATCTCATATTTATAATTCATATGTATTTAAATATCAGTCTTAATATGGTTTCATTTGTCATAGAATATAAATATATAGCTTTATATAATAGAAATATTGCATCATTTTTAATCCTCCTTATAAAGATAATAAACTTGACCAATACATCAGTATTGTTTTTTGAAACATTAGGGAATAAAGTTGATTGAAAATGTTTGCTTAATAAATTAGTAGCCATAATTTATATGAGAATATATAAATTATTATCAAATAAAAGCTCTTTCTATTGTGAATATTTTAAAGCTTTTAAAATATGTAATAGTCATGATCAAATAAATTACTTAATAGATATACAAGGAAAAATACTGGCTTTTTCGGTTTACAATAATATCTTTTTTTTTCTTGGACCTCAAAATTTTTTTTTATTGGTGTTATTTTCTGAAAGTAGAGGTTAGTATGGATCCAAAAAAGTATCACATGACCCTGGGTACCTTTTTTGGTTTGAACCTCCTTTTACCGGGATGTGTAGGATTTTTATCCAGCAGCATGGAGTACAGAATATTTTCTTGCAAACAACAATATGAGTTTCCTTTTAAATTTTAAAAAACAATGCTCTGAATCCTAGTATCTTGAAGCTTGACTAATTAAATGGTTTAGTAAAGAAGTTGACAAGCATCTTTGTATGTTCCAAAACGTTTAATAGCAAACCACATTACACATTATGCTTGAACAATATTTAGTTATTACTAATAACTCAGGAGATGGTTTATCATCCTAACATAAACCATCATTATTCTAAGAGCCAAAATAAGCCATCTAGCAATACAAACTGGTCCAGGTTTTTTTGCAAGAAATTTTTTTGAAATCAAACCTTTTGAGATACCGACTCAGTACTCATAAAACTTTCACTGGTCTGTACTAAGATCGCTAATAACTTCACTGTTAACAAATAAATTTCTGACTGTATGGGAATAAATTCAACCAGTGGCTGTTCATGAAGAGTTTGATTGAATGCAGCATCTCCAATAGGCCTTTTGTAAGACTTATGGCCAATTGTGTTTCCATCTAGATCTAATTCACATTCAATGTGTCGCAGTGGGAATTTAACTTGATGCAGGAAACATCCTAAAAGGTGCAAACTTTTTTAAGAATTTTTTCAAGTTTAACAACCAAACCGTTCTTTACACCTGTATTTAAGCTTGTGTTATCCATAATAACAGCTACTAAGCTATGAACACTATATTAATTGTTGACTTGTAAATAGCTGATTAACATGGAGTTGGGATGTCAATGCTTTTACGAGCCAATTGCTTGCATTGATGTTAGCAGCTTTGTTTGTTGATACTCTTGTGGAGGTCACCAAGTTGACTGCAATTTTGCTTTTATAATGTTT